CGAACTGACCTACACTCCAGACTGTTTGGTGGCCCTCTAACCAGGGGAGGTATTGCTGAAGCACCAGTAGAGCCAACCAATGTAACATTTGTATGGTTCCTGGGAGTAGTGCCAGCAATCCCTATGCTCTGTCCCCAAGAACCATGCTTACCCTTTTAAAGGAGGGGGAATATACTCCATTCCTTTTTTTGGTTTGCAATAATTCTGCCTGCCCATTAACTTACTACCAACTTACCTTGTAGCACAAATGGCAAAACTCCTGGGAGACAGGCCGGTTAGTAAACACTGGCCTGCCCAACCCTGAAACCAGACTGAAGTTTGCAGTAAGGTTCCCTTTAAATAGCTGCTGTTTGGACTGGAAAGAAAACCTCCCCCAGTATGTGTGTCCATCCCCACCTTTGCCAATTGGGTCAGGGGAGGCATGCTTGAGTGTGGCCAGAACACCTCCCCTTTCCTGCCATGACCATCTTTGCCTTGGTACAAAATGGCCCCTGACAGCAGGTGGGAGCTCAAGTTATTAAAGGAACATATAGAAAAAATCTACACATTAGACTGACCAACTACAAGGTACATGCAATATTTAACTGTGGAGAACATGGATCTCCTTCTCCCACCTTGATCCTCTAAATTTAAAGAGAGAGGCTTCAGTGCTTAGTGCAGTCCCAATACTTCATGAGTTTCTAGCATGAGTTCCAAGCAGATACTTCAAAGCTATCCCACTCCATGAGGCACAGTAAAATAGGAACACACAGTCAAGCTTTTCAAGAGAAAGCTAACATTTACTGCTCCCTGATTAACATCACCAGTTAGTGATAAAGTTCAGTGTGATACAAAATGTAATTACTAGAGGGAAGGAACACCTTATACTTGTGGAATGCAAGCTGAATGACAGAATAAATGAGAGGCAGTCTCAAGGCAATTTTGGCAGTATGTGGGCTCTTCCAGGAAGATTCTGTTTGATCTTTCCTGTATGCAGAACATTGATGAAAGTCTCTTGATGGTAATTTCTGCAGAACTCTGCTAAGTATTCCCAGCATGTGTCAGAACAGATGTGTGCAGGTTAAAAATCAAGGTTAGCCTTCCTTATTGTTCTCCTTATGTTGATATTTTCCACTCTTCCTGGAGCTTCCCCCACTTCCTTTAGTCCATCTTCTGCTTTATCTTGCAGTTCGTGCTTCTGTCAGTTCTTTTCTGTCCCACACTTGCCATCCTGCCTCAACTGCAACTGCAGTTTGAATAGCCCTTTGCTGATAGCTGGACACATTCCCTGCTACTCCTTCTGAAGAGCGAACTGGCTTCTGTGAGGTCTTGGTGCTTACCAAGAACTACAGACAGTGCCAGTGTGAGGAACACTGACAGCTTCTTCCATGTTCTTGTGCTAACAGTACTGAACCAAAGTTATCAATCAAGGGTTTAACCCTTAACTTTGTTATATGGCTGGTGTACAGCAAGGACATCACATTTTATCTCTCTTTTTCAGCAAGATTTAAGCTATGACCAGATCATTCTCTGAAATGTATCTCGTTGCTTCCTTCAGTAACCAGTAGATGGTTCTAGTGTATCACAGATGCTCCCTTTAATCAAAGCTTAAGAAAGGGATAACATAGATACACTTCAAAAAGGCATTGATTCTTCCTTACCTCACTACTTTTTAAAAGAAATTCCCAAAATCTGCTTGTTGCATTATTACTATTATAACAAAATAAGAAATAGCAAAGGCAATCTCTAATGATGAAAATTATTTGAGCAAATATTGTATTCAATACTTGTGTGATGTGTAAGTTTAGTACTCAGGAAGACCAGTGTAAGAGGCCATGATTAACTGAGCATAAACATGTTTATTCTGAAATGAAATGTTAGAGGCAATCTAAGCCAAAAGCAGTTTACGTCAAAGGCACATTAGCTACTTTACAACTGCAATTTATGTGTCTGACTGAGTTCAGTAGCACCTACTCCTTGAGTAGATACAGAATTGCAGCCTTAGTGAAATTGGAGAAGCTGTTTTCTGTAAAGGGTGTGTGTGTGTGCACAGAGAGAGCAGGCATGCTTATATATCAACAGTAGAATTAAAACTACAGGCACAAAAGATTAAAAAACGAGAGATGTAAAACACACAGTTCAGAATTCAATCATTAAGTGCCTAGCAGATACAAACAGAACAGTAGTGGTTAATGCGGTTGTATGTATTGCTAGGAGAGAATGCATTGCTAGGAAACAGTGTATACCAATTAAATTCTGAAGGAAACTTTGTAAAAACACTATTTTATCTTTCTACTTCATTTATGATTCTACAGTATGAAGTAGAATCATACTGTACAGTATGAAGTATTGTATAGTGCTGTTGCTGAATAGGCTGTGTGATATCCTTTAATGTATCTGATATTTATGGTTTGAATTAACACTCACACAAAAAAAAAAAAACTTCAGTGTTTAACAAGCATCATTCAAAAATTTCAGATTCAAACATAAGAAAATGGATTTAGTTCAAGCAATACTTCAAGGAAGAATCTCACATTATAAAATGCAAGGTTCTCTTAATGAGATATAACACTCAAATTCTGATTTTCTTGTGAACCAGCTTGATGGCTTTAACTTTTGGATGGTATTAGAAATGTAGTCAATAAAATTTGTTTAAACACATAATTTTAAGGATGTTCCAGCTCTGCCTGAACTGAGATCACTATGGTGCTACCAGAATCAAAGCTATGGTCTTTTTTGTTTTTGAGCAATCTGGATCTAATTCCCCAGATACAGTAAAGAATCAATATAAAGCCATATTTGTTTTTGTAAATCTATTGTTATGTCTAATCAAATTAATTTGCAAGCAGTCAAGTCCCTGTCATGCAAAGTGAATGAGAGAGAGAGAGAGGGGGGGGGGGGGGAAGGAATAGGGGGCATCTGTATACATGATAGCTTAATGTTTTTGTTTCATGGGCATTTAATACTCTGATGCCTCCTAGAATCTGAAATATCAGTCTTTTTGGTTTCAGCTCCAGCATTAGCAAAAAGGCATTTGTCCAAGTGTACTAAGATTTGGGGTAGCATCTAGGCAGAAAGGGGGCAGTAGAACAAGACGGACATGTGTGTATGTAATTTTATAAATACATAAAGCTTGCATTGCTCTTTCTGTACAGCAATATTGCCTGAGCTGAACAAACTTTTTTGTTCTATACAGACTGTCTCAGGTATACTAATTATAGAATTTAAAATAAATAAATCTGCATTTTATTGTGTACTCTTCAAAAATGTAACATTTAAAGTGAGGGTCAAGCAAGTGTTGCACTCTTAAATAAATTGCTTCAGTAAAAATAAGACTAGAAACCACAGCAAAGGTAGCCTCCTAACCCTGGCAAATGAAACAGAGCCATCTAATGCTTTCTTTTATTGTAGAGTAAGCCTGACATTTGAAAAAAGGCCAACCCATCTCCATCCCCCAGTACAGGATGATGCCAGCTTTTCTCACTCTCAAACAAGTTTGGGCCAAACTTATTGTAATGCAAAACACTGTGGCAAGGCAATTCCTGCTGCACACAAACTAGAAATGACTCCTTCAAGTGCAACAGATTTCCTTCCTCGTAAACACTTTCCAGCAACACTAAAATAACTAAGAGGATCGGTTAAGTCAGTATTTTCATTTTTCTCTTCCATAAAACCTACACATCCTCCCACTGAAAGCCATGTTAAAGGATGCTTGGCATTTTAGCATCCCTTCCAAACTTATCCCACTGAATACTTACATAGGTTAAGGGGCTTAGGATCAGCAACGGATTTGAAATATGCATAGCAGTTTATAGATTCTTAAAATGTCCCTTTTTGGCTCCGCAAATATAATTTATCTATTCTGCTTCACCTGTGAGTCAAAAGGGCATGGACCCCATCAACTGCATATATTTCCCATTTTTTAAAACTATTTCCTCGAGATAAATAGAACATACATCTAAATGAATAGATCTCTCCATATTTCATCGCCTTCCTAAAAACCTGCATGACCTCTTTATGACAACGCCTGCCATATTATTTATTTATTTTGGTGCATCCCTTTTTCCTGCGCTCGGCCAAATCCCCGAGCGAAAGCGAGAACATGATTCACGGACACTTTTAGCAGTCGGAAGTATGAGAAGCGCCGAGTGGCGGAGGCGGGCTTCATTTATGAAATCAGCTCCAATGATGGCTTGGGCACTCGCCCGTGGCCGTGCTATTTCTCTGTCACACAGCAACACACACACATTCCCACACAGCTCTAATTATAACCGGGAGACCAACAGCTCCTCTCATGCTGACACTCTCTCAGATGCGCTCCGTGAGTAACAGAAGCCCCGAGAAGCGGAGGAAGCGGGGGCGCCATATATAGCCGCCTTCTGGCAGCCCCCTTTCCGGAGGCGGCGCTCGAGAGGAACACGAGGAACAGCCTTCCCGGAGCGCGCCCCCTCCTCCGCCCGTTTCCCCCACAAATAAAGACAACATGGCGGACCCACCGCCACCTCCCCCGCCCCTCTCCTTCACAAATCAGCCAGAGACAGTCAGCGGCCCAGCGGCAGCTCAGGCCACTGCTGGGGAAAGGGGGTGAGCGGCCGCGACGGAGGGGCACCGGCCGAGCCAATCCGTTTCAGGGTTTCAGCGCGCGCCCGCCGGCTCGCCCGCTCGCGCGCGCGCCCGCGCACGCCACGCCCTCCTCACCCCCTCCCTGGAAGCGCCGCCCTGGCTCCGCCTCACGTCCAGCACCTTTCTCGTCACGGTGAGGCGGGGCGGTGCCCGAAACGGCCCCCCGCAGGTGCGCGTGTGTATGTGCATGTACGTGCATCCACTTATACATGCACCCAGCGGAGGAGCCGCCGGGGACGCGCGAGCGCAACCCTCCACGCGCCGCCTCCCGCAGGCGCGCGCCCGAGCGACGGTGTGGCGGCGATTATTGTTGTAACTCCTCCCCTCGGGAGGGGCGGGGCTGTCCGGAGGACTCTCGATAGCGGTGGCGGCGCCGCCCCTTCGCCCTCCCTCCGCCTCCCTCAGTAACTTGGCTGCCTTTTATCCGGCGAGCCTCGCGGCGGAGAGTTTATTGGTGCTGGAGCTGCAGCGCGCGGAGAGTGGAACGTGAGCACGAAGCGAGCGGCCGCGAGGGGGGTCCCCCGCCGGCTGGTCCGGCCGGCCGGCTGGCCAGTGGGTCGGTCGGTGACGGACGATGCTCCGGCTGGTGTCGCTGAAGTTCGGGCGGCTCTACCGCTACGTGAAGCTGGCGGTGCTGGGCATCCTGGCGGCGGCGCTGGCCCTCAACTCGCCCTCGCTGCTGGCCTCGCTGCAGCGCAACGAGCTGGCCGAGCGGCGCTTCTTGCAGCTGAACAAGTGCCCGGCCTGCTGGGGTACCAGCTGGTGCCGCAAGTTCCTCAACGGGCAGCTGCGCCTGGAGAGCTGGGGCCGCCTCCGCCTCCTCGATTTCCTTAACGTCAAGAACGTCTACTTCGCGCGCTACGGGGAGCCCCGCGAGGGCAGCCGCCGCGTCGTGCTCAAGCGCCTCGGCTCCGCGCGGGAGCTCGCCGACATCGACGCCAAGATCTGCCGGCGCGCCACCGGCAGGGGACGCTGCGACCTGCTCCAGGCCCTGCACGCCACCGAGTTCGCCAGCATCAACGGCGACGTCCGGCTTCTCACTCCCGACGTCGTGGAGGGCTGGTCGGACCTGGTGCACTGCCCGTCGCAGCGCCTTCTCGACCGCCTCGTCCGTCGCTACGCCGAGACCAAGGACTCGGGCAGCTTTCTGCTCCGCAACCTCAAGGACTCGGAGCGCATGCAACTCCTCATCACGCTCGCCTTCAATCCGGAGCCCCTCGTGCTTCAGGTAAGGAAGCATCGGTGCCTTACCCACTCCCCTCTCTCCCATCGTCTCTTCCGACGGAAAGCTCCGACGGCCTCCCCTGGGTCCTGCGCGCATCTCTTCATGCGCCTTTCTCCGCGCTCATATTGGCCAGCAGGGCTGCGGCCAAAGAGTGCTTGAAGAGATAGTGGGGCGGGGGGATAATGTTATCTTACTGGATCGGACCAGTCCGTACGGGGCGGCGTTCTGGTTCTTGCACTGGCCCTCCCGATCCCCCCTCTGGACATTCACGGGCAGGTCATGGTGGTCTACGATCACTTTCTCTCGTTATGTTGGCTCTAGCTGGAAGCTCAGTTTAGCTTTCCTGTTTAATAATTTCCCTGAAAGCGCCTAGCCCATTTTCTTCTGAAAGCTGCCCGAAAGATTTTAAGGTACAGCCTTTTTGCAGCAAAGCCAAAAAAACTGCTCTTAAGCTGTCGCAGGTCTGTGGGTTGACAGCCCTCTCAAGCTGATGCTTTGTATAACTCACAGGATTCTTGACTGTTGGCTGGGGTATAAGGGAGTTGAAAACATCTTCAGGGTACCAGATTGGGAAAAGAACGGGGAGGGTGGAACATGAGAAGGAGGCAGGAAGCGAGCTGGTTTAAACTGTTGATTCTCTTTTCCTTATCCTCATCCTGCAGAACAGGCTTTTGGATAGAGTATGAGTTCTGATACACAGAAGTGCTTGTTAAGTGTGCATCTGGAGATGGTTCTGGTTTTGAAGAAAACCTCAATTTGTATGATAATAACTTTTGCTATTTTCTCACATTCCTTTCTCTTTAAAGGCATCCAGTTCAACTGCCTTTGTTGAGATGTGCCCACATGTTTGTGCCCCCATGTTCCCTCGTTAGCAAAATTGTAAACACTAGTTCTTCCCTTGTTGATTTTGGAATCACATATCTAAATACCCTTTGGGTCCCAGGGTTTACTTAATGGTGCTAATTTAGCCTGTAGACACAAATAAGTGTATTTCTGTAAAATCAATAAGTGTATTTCTGTAAAATCAAGCTTGAACTCAGTTGTGGATTGAGCTACTGAATGCCTGGCTTAAGTCCTTTTCCAAGAGTCCCAATAGCCATGAGAACAGAGAAAAGTGAACACCCACACACTAAGCAGTTTCCCTGGAAACGCCTACAGCCAAAATACATCGAGTCCAAAGCTGCAGTTTTAAGCCTGTGTACTTGGGGGATTGTGCCGCTGAAATCAGTGAAATGTACTTTTGCATTAGTATGTTTCTTCAGCCAATGTCACCTTTCATTTTATTAATAAATACACACCGTTGTAAGTTATAGACTTTTTCTGATGCTATTCATGGCATAACAAAATGTTATGTATCTCTTATCACATTTTAGCCTCAACTTTATGAAGACAGATAAATTAAAGCCAGGGCTACCCTGACTATGAGCTTTTTATCCATTTATGAATGTATATGATAGAAGCTATTAGTTCCTTTGTTGACCTTCAGGGGTTCTCCATTTTTACATTGTGATATGGTTAAGGCTTACAGTCTTCCTCCACTCCCTTGCAGAGGTCTTTATTCAGTAAACATTTGATTCTTTCTAGTATTCATCAGTGCGTAAAAGTTGTTTCTCTGCTGGTAGCAGGCTTGGTGGCACTATAGCAAAAGAGAAGCAGCTTTCTTTTGTAATCACCTTGTTGATTTAGACTTTCAGTAACTTTATTCAGGCATTCTTAGTCTGATCATGGTTAGGTTACTGAGTTTAATAATTCTCTTGATAATAGTCATTAAATTGATTTAAACATTATTTTAGTCTTGCTCCAGTTACATTTCAGAATAGGTGCTATTTTAAAACTTTTATGGCAGCATAAACCAGCTTTCTTATTGGGTGGGTTAAGATGAGAAATAGTATGATTCAAAATGCAACTGTAAAATCAAAAATCAAAATGAGAGCTTGTTAACCCATGGTGCACCTGTACATGCTGACACTTAATGCCAACTCCATTTCAGGCATTCATTGACATACTGTTCTTGTGAACACATATTTTAGACAGGGTCATCTAAACATGGAAAGCCACAGCATTAGTTGATATGACAACCAATGTAGATGATACACATCATGTTACTTTGTTTATTTTATTTAAAAGCAGAAAGTTTGGATAATTTTCATCAATGCCTTTTAAAGTATTAATAGTTCCTAAGCATGTTTTCAAATTGCCATATATGCTAAAGGAACTGTTGAGTTGCTTTCACAAGCTAGGATGGTTGACAAAAAGGGATCAAATGGACTGTTGAAACAGCTGGTGTTCTGTTGAACAGCTTAGATACTTGGTATGAACCAGCTGTTGTATGCCTTTAATATTTTTAAAGGGGTGCCATTATCTTGCAATCTAGACAGGTTTTTTCCAAGAATAGCTGAGATAGAGGCTATATCTCTTGTGACTAAGTTTTAACTTTGAATTCTTGATGCCTTTTCTGTGTATAAAAGTTCTTTATTAGCTGAAATACTTGTATAGTGAACTGGGTTAATATTGCATATCACAGGCAAAGAGAAGGCTTAACTGAAGTTAAGAGTAGTATTAATACAACTTTTAAAGTAGTTCTGTGTAGTGTCCTTTACTGAAGATAGAACAGCATAAACAAAATTAGGTCACTTAGATAAGTTGTGCTGAAAAACATTTATGGAAGATTTTGACTCTGCAGGAAAAAAATAGAGTGATGGTTATTTGGCATACTGAGAGAGTGATCTTATGGTCCCTAAACCAATCTGACCTCTGGGATAGGTATCTGCTCAGAATCTATTCTCCACATTTGTAGCTGGCATGGAAAGAACTGTACCAGCAGCTTCTCTGAGGTCAGAGAAGATTAAAGGCAGCTTTCCAGGGGAGGAGAGGACAGCAGGGCTGCCAGGATATGAGCATCCTGGATTCCATTCCTCCCCATTTGAAGCACTCCAGCTGGACAGCCAAAATCATCTATCTACCTGACTTGCAGAACAGAAAGAGCAGGGAGGTGAAGATTGCCTCTGTTTCCCCCACATTCTAGAGGATTTGGTTAGAGGCTTATGAACATTGAAGGCACAACTCATTGAATTTTGCCATCAGTTTCTTAACATATAAAGGTTGTTTACAATTTGTGATTGTTCTAGCATAAATTGTGTGAGGCTTCCTCTACCAACACATCTGAAGGGCTCCAGGAAAGGCTATGAGGAATCTGGGCCAAGAGAATGACTTGTGGACTTTTACGTACAACTCTTTCTTTGAAGGAAGTGTCCACAAAAGGACTCCTGTGCAAAGAGAATACTTTTCTACTGTCAGAATTCTGTACTGTAACTAAAGTATTTGTATTAATACATTTGCCTACAATGCTGGTATCATCACTAGCTACTGCCATGATAGTCATCACTGTGCCTTATTCAGAATATTCTGCCAATGCAACTTAGATGGGAAGAGTGTTCATTTCCAGCTTAACCTGAGACTTGTATGTTGCTTCTGATGCTGGATTGACAAACGTTTTGTTGTGTATAATCTTCCTCATACATGGTAATCATCCTCATTGTAAGCACTAAGTTGAAGATAAGGCAAGCAGTTGGACTTTCTTAGATCCTCTTAGGTAGCTAGAGCTCATTGAAGTTCAAGAGTAAATCTTGTAATGCAGTTAAATTAAGATTTATCTGTTGTTTGTTGCTGAATAAGGACATTGCTTTGAACAGGAACTTAAAAGGCCATTTATGGAGTGAGTTTATGTATTGATAACTTGTGAGTGACTAGTCATGTAACATCCAAAAGTTTGATATGTGTTTGTCAATCAACAGGGAGTTTGTGGGACTCCTTGATTGGTAAGTTTTTATAAAAGTTTGTCATGAATTTCCTTGAATAATCTGGATAGCTGCTTTTGGAGATGGGATGCTCCCAGTAGATGGAACTGTGGTCTATATATGTGTAGGTTTCAGAAATCTGAGCAGTGTTTCAAATTTGATGTGCCTGTGTTTAAAAGAATGTGATCGCATTCTGTAGTGGGCTTCTTTCTGGGTGGCAATTTCTATACTAACAGCACAATTAAAATATCATTGAATTCATTAGCATTTACTTTCAACTGTGTATGTAAGAATGCATACACACAAGAAAGGAGATGTGTAGTGGCATTGGCTTTCTGTTTGATGCCATCTTATGGGGAGAAAAAGGATTCTTCTGCAAGTTTTGTGAAAGAACAATTAATTGTGATAGCCATTAAACATTCTATCCAAATCATGTCCAGGGAGTTCTTCACAATTTAGGAGTTTTTTTGCTCTTCAGTCTCTAGCTGTTTCAAATCTCTCTAGCATAGTCTCTTGACCTGCAAAAGTACCAGCCACAATTAAATAGTATTGTTGGTTTTAAGAAATGATTGTTTGTTAGATAAGCAGTTTTAATGGCCCTGTAAGTTGACACTGTACTAAAAACAAACAAACAAAAAAGAACAAACAGCTACTGTTGCTGACTTATGTGTACAGATTCTTGATAACATTGTCTGTGGAAGGTAAACAGTTACTGATAAGTGGGGGAAAGTGTGAAAATCCTTATACCCAAGAGTAATAATAGTGCATGCTGATGATCAAGGAAGCAGCTGAATGGGATTCAGATGTTACACACTGGTTGCACTAAATGGCACATGGCAGGCACTAAATATAAGACTTGAACTTTGATTTTATAATGGGAAATGTGTCTCAAATAATCCACTAAACAGTAGCGATGCTGGGATTATAAGACTTTTTGACAGAGATTGGGAGCTTAGTTCGAAGCCTATTTGGAGTATGGATTACTTATAAAGTGGCAGTGCTTATAACATGCACATTGTCACAACAGACAGCCTTTATTTTATCTAGTTTTGAGATTATTTAAGCTTGACCTACATTTGAAGCGATTGTAAAACCTAGAGGAAAAGTGTTGTTATAGAAACATCTCTCAACAGTGCACCTCATCCATATTCCAAGTATTTAGATAAAAACTCAGTTCTCTACTTAATTTTGCTAATCTAGGTCCTC